CTAATTGTAAGTATTTAAAAGAAGTATATATTGAAACAAGATTATTGCAAGTCAGAAAATTTATTTTTTTTTTATCTAAGATTTTTTTTACAAATGATACATACAAGAAACTAAAAATACCTTTATATTTCATGTTTTATAAATAAGTTATATGACATGTCATACGTCATATAATTTATATATAAGTTATATGACATTTATTATAAAAATATATACAATACACAAAATGATATTAACTTTTTACATAGATACTTTGATGCAAATATACATAATATGGAGCACATAATATACATAATACATACACATGAAGCACATGAATAAAAGTATTTTACAGAAATCAGAATATGAATGCATATAACTAAATAATGGAAATGTTTGCAAAAATGTTACAAAATTGATGTATGATACATACACTTTTTTTATCCTTCAGAGTGCCTTCAACCCATCTTCTTCAGCCGGGTTTCCTAGCACATAATACACACACACACACACAACTCACACACATAACTAACATAAAAGATTCTGATGTATATGACAGATAACATTGAGAACTGTATAGCGCCTCTAGATCATAATCCGGGAATTAATTTATAGCCTTTTTTATTTCATTATCGTCTATATTGCACGCATGTCTGGCATAAATTCTAAATGCAATGGTTTTTTAAGACTACATCTTTGAACTTAATTTTAATAGTTTCCTAGCAATCTTTGATGCGCTCTTCTTCGGCCACAACATTTGTTTTGCATCTGCAAACTGTATAATTTTTGTACAAAACTAATATTTGTATACCGACAATTTGTCGATAAAATTCCCAAATTTTTTTATTTTTTTCTTATAAAATCTTATACTCGACGATGTATTAGCATATACTTCAATCACTTGAAAGGATTTGTGATTCTGTTGAAGCAATAAAAAAATCCATGGTATTATATTTATATATATATATCATACAAAATTTTTATACCGCGAGATCGTATAAATAGGATTAAGCGATCGATTCTTCACTCAATAATCCTTCAATTATTAGAAGCGTTATACTGTCAGATATCTTAAATGGCGCATTGTATCAAGAATTTTTGGCAGAAAATATCCCAGATTTTTTGGAAGAAGTTCCATTAGCAGAGAGGAATAAAATCATATTCCAACAAGACAATGCTGGACCACACAATGCCAGAGTCGTTATAAATTACTTAAACGAGCAATTTCCTGGACGTTGGATGGGCTGGTATGGCCCAATATCTTGGCCCGCAAGATCCCCGGACCTTAATCCATTGGATTTTTCTGTGGAGACATTGTAAAAATAATTTACAGAAAGCTTCCCGAGGATGTCGAAGATTTAAATAACAAACTCCATTATGCCATTTGGTCCATCGATAGTGATATTCTGGAGAAGACTCAAATAAATTTTTTGAGATGCATGAGAGCTTGTGTCACAATGGACGGTGGTCACTTCGAACATCTTTTATAAAGAAAGCTCTTCCAAGAGAAAAAAATAATATGCCCCTTTCAGGGCAACCAAATATTTCATTTCGGGGAATATTCTCTCAAAGTATGCAAATTATTAAAAACCAAAATTAAATAAAATACTTAAGAAAATTGATTTGGTTCGATATTTAATAACTAATGAATAACTTGCGTTTTTGCAATATTTTTCAATCAATTATATTAATATAAATTACATTAATTAATATTTTCATTTTTTAATTGCGTGCGTTCTGAGGTTTCAAGCCATCATACGTTCACATTCGACATAATATGTTATGTTACAACAACTTAATCAATGAAATCAGTCGACTGCTTGCTACCGTCGAGTAAACACGTATCATGTGTTCGCCAAAAACATGTGTTTCTTTTTTCGGGTAATTTTAACGCGCCGAGTGATTAGTAGTGATCATTAAATAAATTCCTCGTTTTATCGATGAAGTGAGTGAATGGAACATTTGAATGTGTTGTATTTTGAAACGTGCAACGTGAAGGATAAGAAAATTGAAAAACTTTTTCTTGATATGGATCTGTCTCATTGCAGGAGAAAGAGGGAGAGGGAGAGGGAGAGAGAGAGAGG